AGCCCAGGAGTTCAAGACCAGCTTAGGCAACATAGCGGGAGAGACCTCATCTCTGCAAAACATCAAAAGATTCACAAGGCATGGTGGCACGTGCTTATAGTCCCAGCTACTTGGGAGGCTGAGGTGGAAAAATTGCCTGAGCCCAGGAGGTTGAGGCAGTGATGAGCCGGGATCATGCCACGGCACTCTAGCCTAGACAACAGAGTGAGTCTCCGACTTAAGCAAAACTCTACCTTACTTTTGGGGAAGGGGAGATTGTAATAAGTCTGCCTGAGGGTTCCTAGATAATGAATTCTCTTTTGAAAATAGAAAAACTGATCCCTTTTTTTCTAACTTGATATAGTTATCATTTGAAGAAAATTGGCACATGTAATTTAGCCATTTCATACTCAGTCATGTCTTATTTAAAAATTATTTAGCATACTTGAGAGGGCAGATGTAAGCTTGAGCCCAACCTCTGTCCTATGGCTAAGTCGATACTAGCAGGGGTTTGCAATGATGAGGGTTAGGACTGTTCATTTTCCAATTCCAATTGGAGACAAATTCTTTGCTTAAAACTGTGCTCTGTGTTTCAGAAGCACTTGGAAATCAATAAAATGTTCAGAACAAAAGGCTTCTCTCTGTAACAGCATTTTCCAATGTGGGTTTGGAAGTCTAGGTATGTTAGTTCAAAGGGATGGTACTAAGCTAAATTATTTAAGGAAGTGGTTCCATGACTAAGTGTGTTTGAAAAATCTATTTCTTTCCTACATGATTTCTCAGATCTTTTGCTATATTAATGTAAATTGTGAATTTTCAAAAATTGTTTTCTGACCAGAAGACATACTTTTTATTCATCATCTTATCTGTAGAACATACCACCCCATGATACAAATTAACTTGGAATATATGTAATATAAATAACAAAAAGCATTATAAAATATTCTAGAAAAACGATCTGGACTTTAGAAGAATTATCTGGACTTTGAAGAGCTGTTACAATATTATTGGCTCATAAAAGGTCATTAAAGTTGGTCTTTCACAGGCTTTATTTGGTGGTAATCAGTTTTCTCTCTGATGGACTTTGTTACACTTGCATGAGTATTTATTTTCAAGGCAATATAATGGAAAGAAACAGCATTCACTATTTATTATGAATATTAGTTCTTTATTGAGAATTAGAAATATTCTAAATTTACTGAATTCAGAGGTAGTCACGGCCCCTCCCCCATAAACTTTACAGTCTTAGACAATGTAAATTTTAATAAATTCTTAATTATAGTACAAAAGAAAGTCACCAGGAAAACTTGTAAAATCAGCTATAAAACATCTGTAAAAGGCTATGGAGCACTTCATATGCTAAAGTACCATAAATGATCCATGAGCAATACAGTACAATATCTGCCTATTAGTTGATATAATGCAACATCTGTAACAAACTCAAACTTCTGTTTTAGGTACAGTATTGTGAACTTTTGGTGCTTTTTAATCTGGTCATCATGTTCTCCCTCTTCCCTCATCTAAAGTCATGAGGAAAATAAAAAGGACCTGTCATAAAATAAACATCAATCGTACTGTTACCATATAGAATAGCAACCAAACTTCTCAACAAGCAGTGTGTCCTGGTGCAATAAGACAATATGCTGTGCTGATTTTTCTGGATTCCCTAGGAAAACATACTTCCAATCCAGCATCAAATATTTTTACTTTCTAAACACAGAACTAACTTACATCATTTTTAGAAACAGATTACAAATACAAAATTGCTTCTGGAACAAAACACAACATCAATTTCTTAGACTTTCAGAAATGTTGAGAAGAGGCTTTTAACATTTCTGATACATCCAACAGTTCAAGTCTAAATGTAATAAATTAAGCACCAACATAAACACTGACACTTATCTGCAGGGACTTAATTAACATAAAAAAATACTACTCACCATTTAGATTCATTCATTAACATTTACCAAAATTTGAGTAGGTACATAAGCAAAAGCTAGGTTACTTCATGAAGGTTTCCTTAAATATTATTAAGTGATTATTTTAGCTAACAGATGTTTCGGTTTTAGATAAATTCTGTTTATGTCTGAGGCAAAATATTTGGCCTTCAATAAGACATATTCTACTGCCTTCAAAATGTTTATCTACCTGAGTGTTAACCTTGCCATTCCTCCACCTGGACAAGCACCAAAAATGACCAAAAAATGAGGCATCTCCAACTATCATTTCTAACAGTCACAGAAGGACTCCTCAGCAGGGGTCTTAATTTTACAGATAAGGAAACTGAATGAGTGGTGGATTTGAACCCAGGGCTCCTGCCTTCTAATTATTATTTCCCTTATGCATTTTTTCCTGTCTTGAAAACCTTTATCATGTTGTTTCTTTATAAAAGGAATTATACTTGAACTCAGAGCCTGAGAGTCCTAAGAGGGAATGGTTGGAAAGGTTATGCAGGGAGGGGTTTGAGGATGTGGTTTGACCACAGTCAGAATACCATGATTGTATTTTGTTAGCCTTTAAGTGATTTTCAGTTTAATTATGATACAAATTTCTGATTTTTTTTAATCTTTTTTTTTTATTATGGTTTTGTGGGGTACAGTTAAGGGTTAGGCAAATTTCTGATTTTAAAAACATTATTTCAGTAAGAAATTTACATTAAGGCTCATAAACCAATTCAGATTTTAGTTCATGTACTTTCAGAAACTGCTGTCTTAGAAAAGTTAGAACTCAGACTCAGAGTGCCCAGTTGAAAAATTGAGGCTTGATGGCAAATCAAGCTTAATCTTATATACTTTCATTTGTAATATACCAATGTAACTTTCTGCAATATATTAATATATATTTTCATGCATATAATAAATTTTTATTTAAATAAAAATGATCAAGATATTTGGCTTATGAGATTTTATAAGTGGTTAAAAGAAAGACTACAAATTGTTTATATTAGCATATATGATTTTGTGCATGTAGAATACACTCGGCACAGAAGCATTCACCATGTACAAGCCCGGTATGGTTTCATTTCTAGATCCTGTAGAACTTTCAATATAAAGAACCAATGCAACTCACTTTGGATGAGTGATACACAGCACTTAGAAATCTGCCTACCAGAGTTGCTATAGGCTTTTTCTGTTTGCCGCTTCCCCCCCTTAATTCTTACATGTAATGGTTTTGGATAGGATAATGCTCAGAGAATGTAAAAACCTAAAACATTGAGTATTAATGGTAAAAAATTATTTTCATTTAAAAAAGGGTAGATTGTAGTGCTGTTTAGAGGTGGTAACATAATACCTTTACTGTCAACCTTAGGATAAATTCAAGGTCCAATAAATAATGTATTTAGAATTTTTCTTGATTATATACATGAAAACACTCTTGTCAGTATTACTAGTGAGTTGGAGATTGCCAAAGCATAAGATCTAGTTTCATAAAATGATTCGGAGCCCTAGACAGTTTCGGGGAGGGTCTGGAGTAGCAGGTTGCTGGAACTTGTTCTTTCATTCATTCATTCAGTACCTAATATGTGCCAGGGTCTGATGATATAAAATGAATTTTTTGAATAAATGAAATAGACTTTGACCTCAGAGTTCATACTCTACTAGAAAAGGCACATATGGAAGTAGAAGTTCATACTACAGTGGCATAAATCCAATAATCAAGACAGCAAGTTTATTTTGGGGAGCAAAGAGGAAGGGCCCCTAGGGGGTAGAATGGAACTGAGTGAGATAAGGTCAGCAAAAGCTTCTTATGGAGCTGATACCTGAACTGAGTTTTAAGAGAAATGGGAAAGAAAATGCAGTGAGTCGGGATGGCATTCCAGATACAGGGACACACACAGCATGCCATGTATTTATGAACTATATGCAGCTGCTGGTTTTTGCTTCAAGTACCTCCCCTTCTTCAGTGCTGTGTGAGGACAGACTTGAAGAGGAGAAGGCTGGGAGCAACAGACCAGTGAAGCTGTTGCAGTGGTGCAGGTGAGACATGAGGGCCTAAACTTTGCAGTGTCAACAGCTATTAAGAGGAGAGGGCAGAATTAATCAACATTTATAATTAATGCCAATCTTTAGTTACTTACTGAACATACGGCATGAGGAGGAGAAAGTATCAAGGATGATACCTGGGTTTCTAGCTTGGTAGTACCAAAAATAGAGACACAGAATACAACAGAAAGGTAGCGGGCGGGGGGTGGGGCATATGGTATACTCAACTGTTGATTGAGTTTGAAGTGCCTTTGAGTTACATCCAGGTGGATGTGTCCAGTGGGCAGTGGGATGAGGATATAAAGCTCTCTAGAGTCTAAAGTTACACCTTTGGGGTCATCTGTATAATGGGGCTGCAGCATCCCCATGCAGAGAGGCAGGGACACTAGCTCTAAAGGGAGAGGGGCTTACTTAACCGACATTGCTTTAGGCCTCAGGAGACAACCTTTTCATCCCATCAGACCTGTATTTTCTTGGGCCACTGAGACATGGTTGCCTATTTTCTCTCATATCTCTTAGAACATTTGCAAAACTATTTTCAGTCCTCTGATCATTTCTCCCTTCTATGAGAACTAATTTTATATGGCACTTACTGTCTCTTGACATATAGATTCACGGCAACGTCTTGTATATAGGAGGTGATCCATAAGTGTTCACCCTTATTGCTTAATCATCTGGCTCTCTGGATACGAAATTAGCTCATTTTTTTCTTTAAAAATTTTCCCTGGCAAGTATGTAGAGCAACTTTTTTTTTCCCCTTGCAGGAACTTCTTTTTTGCTTCTCAAGTTTAGCTTCTACTTCAAGATGAATTTAAGTATATAAATGAGCAGTACTTGCTAGGTGTCTTCCGTTCATTATCAAGACTGAATCGTTCTTTTCATCATCACCATGTAGTGGCTATTGCAGGATCTGGAAACATCCCTTTCTCTCCATAGGGAAGACTGTGGAGTTCATCCAGTCGAGGTCCCATTAGAGGGCGTCAGGGTTGTAGTATAACCTGGCGTGAGTAATCCCTGATTCCATGTGGTGACAGGGGCTGAGGTTCACATTTTACTTTATTTGAAAAATACGTGCAAAAGAGTCACTAAAAATAAGAACAAACTAGGCTTTGTTGCAGCTGAGTAGCTCAACAAATTTCTGTACAGGGGAATCATTGGGCATGAAGGATTTGATACCAGGACAGAATCCAACTGCGCTTGGAATGGAAGTAGAATATCCTTTTTAAGGGCACTGAAGTTCTGGGCTTTCTCCGGAATAATCACCTTTGTGAGGTGTGGATCATGTCCAGGGACTGTAACCTGAGAAGAAACAAGAAACAATTGTATGAGTGATTTCAGATGTTTTGTGGTGCCAACACTGAAAACACCAATATCCACCGTGAATACGCAGCCTTTGTGCAATGCATGTAACAATCTGCTGAACTTCTCAGACTAGTAACAGACTCGGTCCTGCTCGTTGAGTTCTCCAGTGCTTGTTGATGGAGCCCAGAGTAGTTAATGCTGCTGCCAAGAATCACAAAATGGAATGAAGTCAGAGGCACATACCTTATCTGAGGATGTAAGTCAGGAGAAGGAGGCAGTGGGCTGATTCTGCTACCTTCATTTTCATGGCACACAAAGATAGAGTTAAACTATTTCCCTTTGTTCCAAATCTGCATTTAATATCCTTAGTGGATTGTAAGTGGAATTATTTCCTCAATGTGCTCCATTTCTTTGTAGCTGAATCTAAGTGTATAAGTCTATTGCTTTCTTAGAAAGCTTTTATTTCATATGAGTCTGAATTTTCAGCTAGATTTGTTAGTGGAGGAAATGACCAGCCTGAGCAATATAGTAAGACCTCATCTCTCCAAAAACTCACAAAATTAGCCAGGTGTGGTGGCACATGCCTATAGTCACAGCAACTCAGGAGGCTGAGGCTGCAGTGAGCCATGATCATGCCACTGCACTGTCTGGGCAATGAAATTATAAAATACCTTTAGTATATTACCTAATTATTCTTATTATTAAAAAGGTTGCATGTTTTAAGTCACAAAATATATCATAAGAAATAGGATTTGGCTTCTATTTTTAAAAATAATTGTCATCGGGGAAAAAAACATGGATTTTCTGGTTTGTGCCTATTATTTCCACCTCCTCAACCCCTGCCAATTGCAAGCTTGACACTGTCCTTTCCTTCTGTCCTAATGTATAAACTAGATTTATTTTAGATTCCTTTTTGGTGAGTAAGAATTGAGAATTCTATAATGTTTTAATAACAATAACTAGCATTGTACACTTACGTTTATTATATAGGACCCAGGCAAGAGAAGGAGATAATACTCTCCAAATTTGTTGGTTCTATAGGGGCAGACATGTTTCCTGTCTTGGACTTCCACAATTACATTGGGTAATGGATTTCCATTTTGATCAAAAATTTGACCCTTTACACCTGCAAGTCAAAAAGAAAATTAACTATAAATACCACATTTTTATGGCATAGGAAAAAATTCTTAGAAATATTTAAAAAAATATACCCAATATTTAGATCAGCTGTTCTGAGTTGTTAAAATGATAGAGAAAGGAAAGTAAAATTTTAATGTAACTTAAAATACATTTAAGCTGCTAATCTGATTTGTAGCTTAAATTTGTTTGTTGTTGGATATTCTGTTATCGAACAGAGAGAACACAAATCCAATCCTGTCATTTCCACATTGCCTACTCAGTCCCGAAACAGTACTGTATTACCATTGGTGGAGTCCATAAAATTCTCAGTGAAAACAATGGCAATGCAGTAATTTACAAGACACTTACCTATGCCAGGGACTCAGTGGTTTTGTCTTGTGGTCAAACTACGTGGGAAGCAAAATCTCAAGCACGAGTTTCCTTAGAAACATGGAGTCAACTGACCAGTAACAGCAGCTAATATTTATTGAGTGCTTATTATATTCCAGGCTCTATGCTGAGTGCTTAATGTACATTTTCTCATTGAATCCTCACATCAACTCTATGTCATCAATTATTATCATGATTTTACAGATGAAAATAACTAAGACTTTGGATTATTAAGAAAACCTTCTCAAGCCCTCACAGCCAACGAAGAGGCACACCCCAGAGCCTACACTGAATCTGTCACGTTGTACATATCCTCTACCTCAAAATTTCGGGAGTATGAATTTTAAAAGGCCACTTATATTTCAAGACTCTACTTATTTTAAATCCTACAGTTCACATCCAGTTTGTTTACTCCAGTAACAAATCATAGTACCTTAAGGTGAAGCCACCTAAACCCAGTGACATAAATAAGAAAAGTCTACAGTGCTAAGATGACCTTGAACTATCCCCAGACAGTTATACTCAATAATTATTTCTTAGGAAGAAAAATATGAGATGCATATTAAATAGTTTCCCCCAGAAGAGGTTAAATTGAAAAATAAAAGCTTTGTTATTTAGCAAGGCAATCTTTATCCCTAATATTAAACAAACGTCTATCCGACCTAAGTTGCCTTTTACTTGCTTTCCTAAGTTCTGACTCTTTATTTTTTCCTTCCCGAGAAGGAATTATTAAATGCCACATTTCCTTCTTACTTTCTCAGTACAACTAGGTAAACCTATAGTCTCTTGTAATTTGTTTTTCTTTGGTTTCTCTCTCACTCTCTTTTTTAAGTCCCATTTATATTTATTTGTACTGCTCGGTATACATCCTTTTGATCTTTAGGTAGTACCCAACTGTAAATTGGTAATAATTTGGTAACCTGATTATGCATTTATTTGTTGGGTTTCATGGCATTATTTTTGAAGAGCTATTTGCCTCACGCCTTTCTTAGGAGGACATATGTAAAAAACATGACACATAACAGTCATCATAGCTCAGTGTGACAGAACGAACCCAGTCAGGTCTCAGTCTGAATCCCAAGTCACTAAACATTCCCAAAACTCAATTTCATCACCTGTGTGATAGAGTTGTAAAGGATGGTTGTGAAGACTAAATGCAAGAAACACAGAACAGGAAGGTCAACAAATATTAATACTTTCTTGCCTCTTATTTGGATACAAAAAACTATGCAAGTGGAAAAAAAGACTATGACTATATAAGCTTGGAGTTAAAACAGAGATATCAGAGACGTTTCTGGAATCTCAATTCAACTTTGTTTTACAAGAGCAAGAATATGTGATAGAAGAAGCTATGTATAGTTTTTTCTTCTCTATGGCTCTGAGCTAGTTTACAGTCTTCCCACTGCCTAGAAAATCCATGTATTTGAGCAAGATAGTTTGTGCTGATTGGTGGTGGTCTGTTGACATCTTTTGTATTTTTCATTGACTTCTCTAAAGCCAACCAAGTCATACAAAATCAAACGCATTAAAAATGAAAGCAAAACTAACTTTTAAACTGGCACTTCATCATCCTTTAACATCTAAGATAATGCTGAAGTAATATCTAGGGTACCAGTCATAAGTAGTTGGTAGAAGACACCAAGAAAAAAGTGTCATGGTATCTTATAAAAATTTAGCAAAATTATTCTTGGCTAGAACAGACAACTTTTTTGACAGCTGTATGAACAATGATTTTGGACAACCTTAGGTACCCCTATAGCACCTATGTACCAATATATGCTGCATGAACAAAGGTTCCAGTTAACTTGTAGTCTGCCTACCCTCAAATATGGGAAAAGAATAAATAATTTAGATTTGAGGAAATACCTAAAAGTCTTAATAATCCAGTTTGGCTCTCATCCACCATCTTCTAAAAACCCTAAGACTCACTTCCATGTGACCCTTACCTAAGCCTAAAGAGAGTTCTTCAAGCTGTGGAGGCCTGGGGTATCTGAATGTCACTCTGTTACTGAGCAAACACAGACCATGCTTAAATATGGAATTTCTATTCAAAGGAAAACCCCTCCCACCAACCAAATTAAAGCTTTCTTTGGCTTGTATATGTCTTTACAATATTTTGTCCACATACTACCACATCTTTTACTTAGAGGCAAGTAATAGTTTTACCAGAAAATATGACTTATCTCTGTATGCTAAAGTTGAAACATTGAAAAAAGACAGGTAGACCCAAAGAGATGCAGAGAGGGCCAGCACTATTATATCAGAAAAACAAAAAAAGAAATTTTGAAAATGATCACATAATACACAAAGGAGAAGACATAAAACCTGAAACTTAAATTCTGTGGCCTCATCTGGAGATCTGAGGGAGAAACGTAGAACTCTCTTTCCCCTGGAAATGTATTAGAGCCTCATGAATAAAAAGTCTTTGTTGGACAAGAACTGGAATCCTGCATCTACTGGCCACAATTTAGAGTCAGAGCTGGGATAGTACTTGGGAGACTGCTTGTTCACACCCACGTCCCCAGTCACAGTTGCCACTATTTTGGACCTGATGACAGGCCCATATCTTGTCCCACAGGCTTCTGGGACTCAGCACACACCAGATTCTCTTAGGTCCAGGTTGCTGCGACCCATTGCCCAGACTTAGATTTCTGGGTGCTGTGAGCCACTCCCCAGACTTCTGAGTTCAAACCTGTTTTGAGGAATCAGGGGAGAGGCAGGGCAGCAGCAGGTAACATTGTATCTTGCTCACCTTGCTCCTCCGTGGAGAGAAGAACATGCGGAACATTCTAGGCCCCTCTAATTCAGACTTGCACTCCTTGACCTTAATGCCTGCAGACACCCTCCTCCCAACCCACACCTAAGTAAATCATCCTCTAGGCAGGACAATATGGCACCAAGGAACCCAAGTTTAGATGAATTGAGGTCCGCATTGAGTTTCAATGGAAAGATAACCCCACTGAAGATTTTGAGCAAGCTGGTGTGTACTGGGTATACACCATACACATAGCAGGGCAGATGCTGTGACTCTCAGCTTTCAGTTGACTCAACTGAGGTTCAGACACTTACTCAAGGGTACAGACATGGCCAGATGACAAAATAGTTTGGGCTTTACCCAGGCCTTTGCCCTCTTGGCAAGGTCTTTCCACTAAAGCAGGAGGCTTTTTTCCTCCCCTAGAAAAGGTGGTTTAGAGACTTCCAGATGGGTCAAAATCTCAGAAAATTAGAAGCATCCTAGTAAGTGGTGAAACTGAACCAGTGAATGAAACATGGCTTGACAAATATCAATACTTTCTTTTTTTTTGAGTCGGAGTCTCACTCTGTTGCCCAGACTGAAGTGCAGTGGCCGCTCCCGGCCACCACAGCCTCGACCTGCTGGGCTCCGGCGATCCTTCCGCCTTAGCCTTCCGAGTAGCTGGAATTACAGGCGCCCGCTGCCACACCCGGCTGATTTTTTTTGATTGATTGTAGAGATGAGGTCTCGCTGCCCAGGCGGGCCTCGAACCCGCGGGCTCAGGCAATCCACTCACCTCAGCCTCCCAAAGGCGCGGGATTACAGGCTGAGCCACCGAGCCCGGCTAATACTTTCTTTAAACCAGAACAATACTAATAAAGAGGTATTTTATCCCATCATTCACAAACAAAAATATTATTTGGCTCCTTATTGGACACAAATGGGGAGAGAAACTCTCTATTAAAGTAATAGTAACCATATTATATCAGTGTTTTGAAAAATAATTTCCTTATTAAACCATACCATGCTTATATCTGTAACCACAAGGGGGCAGGGTTGGTGTGCTAATATATCTATAAATCTAGCTATAGATTTTTTTTTTGAGTTGGAGTTGCACTCTGTCACCCAGGCTGGAGTGCAGTGGCACGGTCACAATACTAAGCAAGAGAGAACCCAACAGTTTGATTATATAACGAGGAAGGAGAAAGACCCAATAAATTAAAAATAAGTATTAAGATGCTGGTGACAAAGATGGCATTTTGCAACATCCCCTATCATAGGGAATCAGCCTCCTCCATAAGTCACTCATCCAGTTAGACACAGTCCTGTGGGTTTACCAATAACCTTTGTGTACTTCTGTTCGGGTCAGGGATGGAGGCTAGGGATTAGGTATAAAAAGAGGGTAGGGCATGTGTTTTTGGGGATGCGCGGTTAAGGGAGGGTCCTGATTATCTTTGTACTCAGCCCTCTGGTCTGGTGCTCCCCTCCCTTATCCTTCTCCATCTTCCTTGTAGCAGGTGGAAAACTTGGGTGTGAATCATGCAGGGAATTTCAGTAATGATGCGATTATGCAGTAGGCCCATGCAGCAGACCAACACACACACACACACACACACACACACACACACACACACACACTCACATACACTCACACACTCTTCACTTTGGCTTGATGTGGCAGCATAACTATTATGCTAATTACTGAGGTGTTTCTCTCCACAAGCCATCCCGAATGAAGAAAGAGAATTTTAATTCTGCCAACACAGAAGAGCCACCCATGCCTTGCCTGAAGAGATTCCATCATTAGCACACATAGTGCGTCCCTCGAGTGCAATGGCTGTCTTATTAAGTGTAGTCACTGGGCCTGCAACATCAGCATCACCTGGGAAGATGCTAATAATTCAAAACCCACTCAATCAGAAACTCTAGGGCCCGACGATAAGTGTTAACAAGTCCAGAGTCTGATGATATGTGTTAACAAGTTCAGAGTCTGCCTCATGTTGAAGGGTTGCCACTCTTGTCACATTTAGTTTGTCCATCTGTGATAAGAACCAGCTAACCTGGGAAGACTTCTAGCACCAGGACATTTGGCAGAGTTCAGAGGTGGCAGGGGTTGAAGCTAATGGTGCTAGGTCACCACCCCAATTCTGGACAAAAGGCAAAATGCAAAATGGTATGGCCTGTGTTCTCAGGATCCTTGACATTGTGTGGCAAGTGACAAGCAAACATAGATTTTTTTTCTTAAATGAGAGACGATGTAACAGAGTAGTATCCTGTTTTCCTGATCTTTTGCCATATTTCCAGATCATTCCCTTGTAAAGTTAGGGTTACTCTGGGTTTTTACACCTCCATATTAAAGTAAAATATGGCATGCTTTCTCTTCTGTAGGTAGATGGGCAGTGCATTTCCACACACTGCAGATATTCCTGCAGAAAGAATTCATAACTATCAGTTTTGGCACTGAAAATGAGGCTGAACTAGAAAGCATCAACAGAGGCCTGCATTCACTCAGCCTAGAGGTATTACCAGATGCTATGTCTGTATTAGCAAGGAATTAATAATAAAATCTTACAAACCTAGGTGCACTTGTTTTATATATTCAATCAATGAGGCTTTGTTAACATTCCAGAAGGATGGAAGCTTCTCCTCAAGAGGATATTTACAGCATGACAGCTCCAATGTAATTTCAAAACACTGGGCCCAGATGTAGTTGTAATCTTGCATTCCACCTAAACACAAGCAGATTTCATTTTGGTTAAGGTATAAAATTGGAGTGAAGCCAAGTATCACGTATCTTGGGAACGAGTGAATCAGACAGTTGCAGGCAAAATAGATGTAAACAGGAAAAGATGAATTTGACATATTAGCATGTACGATGAGGGCTTGACATTTTATTACTCAGGCAGGACCAGACAATCCTAAATATTCCCATATGGGTCACTGGATCAGAGCTGACTGAAGTTCAACTGTGCATCAAAATTAAGTGAGTGGTGAAGAAAGGGTCTTTTTTTTTTATTTTTTAAGATCCTATACGACAAAAAGGATTCTTCAAATTACATTTCTTTCTTAAATTACATTTTAAGTGGATATAAGCTAGAATAAGATTCCTTTTAAAACATTTCTGCAAATCATTTATAAATATACTTATTTAGTAGAGCTAAGTACACTAATTTGGGGGAATAATGACCAACATTTACTAAATGTTCACTGTTGCTAAGAACTGTTTGAAGTGCTTTGTATCAACTCATTTAATCCTCACAGCAATGATTATCCCTACTTTACAGACGAGGAAAGTGATCACAGATGTTAAGAAATTGCCCAGAGATTCCAGCCAGTGAATGGTAGACACTGGAGTGCAGGCCATGTAGCACAAGCCCCTGTGTGCTTACCTGTTAGGCCAGAGTGCTTGCTCTTGGGATAGAAGAAAGGAAGCCGCACTGACTCTCAGAGGCTGAAAACCCAGCCCCTGTGGCAGTCCAGGGCTGCCACTGCTCTTGCTGGCTTTCTAGGTCTCACCTCTGGACCCCTCCTTTCAAGGGGTTATAATCATTTCATACTTTCTAATGTGTAAATCTTTTCATATTTAAGTTTCACTTAGTATGTATCTGAAAACTTTTTATGGCTATAAAACATGCATTTTTTTTTTTTTTAGTTAAGGTTTCACTCTGTGGCCAAGGCTTGTGTTGTGAAAGGCTATGTTCAGCTTCAGTGAATTTTTTTTTTTTTTATTCTTTCAGTGCATTTGCCCATTTCATGAGTGATTTACGAGCGTCCCTGCTATACCATGCTGAGTTCAGCAGTTTTTGACCAAAAACGACATGACCTCCACACCCTACCTTCCCTATTCACCCACTCACCCCAAGTGACTTTTTTTTGTTTCCCCAGTGAAAAAAGTCCTCAAAGGGAAACGTTTTACCACTGTAGAAGAGGTGAGACAAAAGATGGCAGAAGCACTGAAAAGCATCCAAAATGACAAGTTCAAAAACTGTTCTGAGCAGTGGAAAAAGCATCTCGATAGGTGTACTGCATCAAACAGAGAGTACTCTGAAGGTGACTGAAGCTTAAACATGTAAGAATACACATTTTTTTATAAATCCAGTTTTTTGGCGTCTTCCCTTGTATCTTACCTGGAAAACTGACAGAGAGCCATCCTGGCACTTTACCACTTTGATAGCCTGTGACTCCAAAGTGACAACTGGGGAAGGTGCCTTTGGAAGTGGCCTGCATGCAGAAGTGCAGGATGCGGCTGCTGCTGGTAGGTCAGGCTGACCAGGAAGGAAATGCTTCCCACTGGGACAACAGAAATCCAGTTCTGGCCCAGTGTCTCCCCTCTGGTCCTTCCTACCCCTGCGCTTCTGGGCTTCTGTTTTTATGATTTCTTCATTATCATTTTCTTTTCTTTCTTTTGTTTTTTATTTGGGGTCTACTCTGCAGTCCAGGTTGGAGTGTGGTGGCATGATCATGGCTCACCACAGCCTTGACCTCTTGGGTTAGTGATCCTATTTCTTAGCCTCCCAAGTAGCTGGCACTATGGGCACCACCACACCTGGCTGATTTTTCTATTTTTTTGTAGAGGCAAGGTCTCACTATGTTGCCTAGGCTAATCTCCAACTCCTAGGCTCAAGCGGTCATCCCACCTCAGTCTCACAAAGTGCTGGAATTACAGGGGTGAGCCACGCGCCTGGCCTTATTTTCTTCTTTTGAAGACTTTGGGATGTATGCTATGTGAGAGAGGATGCCCCCAAAGAAGGAATTTATTTATAAAAGAATTGTGTATTCTTACATGTTTAAATTTTTTTAAAAAAATCTTTAAAAAAAATTCACTAAAGCTGAATGCAGCCTCTCACAACAATGCTAGCTGGTACATCCATGCTGATGGGTTCCTAGAACATTTACCTAGTGGGGACAGCCTGTACTACAAGGGACCTGTCCTCCAAAAAATAATTCTGGTTTTTGGGGGGATTCCCCCTTATATTAGTCCTTCTGATAAGAATCTCTCTCCTTCCATGTTCCCTCCATGGCAATCCCATCTCCTCCCTTACCTGGCCACCCTAATTCAAGGATGGAAAATAGGGGACCTTTCTCCTGCTGTATCCTGCCTTAAGACTTCTTTTTTTCCATGTGCAATGGCTTTAAAATCATGATACTTCACTTGCAAATCCAGTTTCTTTTACAGTGGGATGACCTGGCCATACTGGCTCCACTGCTGCATAGCAGTAATTAGTGGATCTAAGGAGCAGCTGTCCCTGTTAGGTGGGACACAAGCATTCCATTTCTCCAAGGTCTTCCCTACTCCCTAGTGTGTTTTGGCTTTTCAGCCCTGTGGTACACAGGACCTTTTCTAAATCTCTATTTTCTTGGGCCACATAATGACATTTTGGCTAACGATGGACTGCTGGAGCAAGAGGCTCTTCCATTGAGCTTAGGTGTGTGATAAGCCCCACTATCGAGGTTTGTGTAAGCACACGCTAGAATGTTTGCCCAATGACGAAATTGCCTAACAATGCATTTCTCAGAACACATCATCATTGCTAAGCAGCCCATGACTGTGTTGATATGCATGGATATCTCCCTATTACACTTAAGCTCTATGTCTTGTTCATCTTTCTTGGCACAGTTTCTGGCTCATAGTAGGCAGACACCGAGAAAACATCTGAATGAATGAAGGAGGCCCTTGGTGTGAGGGACACATATTTGAGCATCTCTCAGGCTAATTGTCGCCACCACTGCTCTTGTGATATTGGTCAATGGAGACAGGATTGAAGGGACTACACTATGCCTAAAGATCTTTTGACAACTGCTGGGTCAGCATCAACCAGCTGGCACCTCTGGGTAAAGAGGATAAGGAGAGTGGAAGAAATGAAGAGAAACTCACCTTGGAGTGGATACCAGGAGTATCCATTTATAACACCATCAGGAAAGTTCATTTTATTTTTACACTGATTTCCTTTCTTCATGCTGGGATTTCTTGAAGCATAGGTATGTGCGAGATGTTGGAAGACATCATCATCAGGAGTTAGACTTCGGGAGAGTAAAGCCCCAGTTGCTGTATTTGAAGGACAAACCAAGACCTTTTCATTGACTTTGGAGTAAGGGGAAGCACAAACACCATATCAGCAAATACATAATCTCAGCTCACACACCGCTCTGATTTCTTTAGAGAGGAATGTTTTACCCACTTCCATGCATGCTTCCTCTAACTCTTTTTTTATACTTTTTAATGAACATATACAAGGTGGCATTTCAGAAAATAAGTCCCATACAGGTTGAATATCCCTTATCCAAAATGCTTTGGACCAGAAGTGTTTCAGATTTAGGTGGTTTTTGTTTTCCAGATTTTAGAACACTTCCATTGTATTTTATCAGTTTAGCATTCCTAATTTAAAAATTCCAAATCCTTGGGGGGGAGGGGGAGGGGATTAACAGTAGCAAATATCTGTCTGGGGCTGGGAAAACACCTCTTATCAACAGGGTGTCTGAATGAAACGTAATTGTACACCTAATCCTTAACTGTACCCCACAAAACTATAATAAAAATACTGATTAATTAAAAAAAAAAAAAAAAAAAGAACTGCCATATAAAAAAAAAAAAAAAAAAAAAAAATTCCAAATCCAAAATGCTCCAATGAACATCTCCTTTCAGCATCATGTCTATGCTCAAACAGTTTTAGATTTTAGAACATTTTAGATTTTCAGATTAAGGATGTTCAACCTGTACATAGCCAAACTCTTCCTAAATGAGCTTTATAATTAAATATCTTCTTAGTCACTCTTGCTAATTTCTGGAGGTCAGGGAACTGTCCTTAGTTACTGAAGGGATTAAATGAAGCCACTGTAATATTTTAAGATCTTGGTATGCACCTCTTCCCAGAGTTTTACGAGGAGTCAGCAATTATTGTTCATATAATTCGCAAAGAAAAGTGAGTCATTCTAGTTTTCTTTTAGCCATGTTGCCTCTTAGGAAATCATCTAAATTCAAAATTTGACTATTTCACAGATGCATGTCAAGTTGTAAGCTGTCAGTTCAGCCATACTGCCCATCCACTGTTGAAGAATGACAGGAAGGATGGCTCAGGGTTGGAGACAAGGTTCCTTCTACCTAGATGGAGAAGTGGCAGAAGAAGAGTTTATTCAGAGGCAGAGAGTTTGCAGCCCCCTTCCAGACCCACGTGCTTACCTTGAACACCATTATCAAATGGGTAACTGGCCACAAGGGCACCACCATGGAGGTTCGCAGAGAGAACAAATGTGTTTTTTTTCAGCCACTCCATGACTGCCAGAGTTTCAGGCTGTCTTGAGACGTTATTAAACTCAAAAGCATCAGGAAAATTTCTATTCAGGTCATACTGGTTATAATTTTCCCTTTAAAAGAAAGAATTGTTTAGGGTTTACTGGTGGTATGTGAGGGAGTGGGTTCTTGTACTATATAGCTCTTAGGTTTGGACTTCAGGTGTTTTTCCAAATATGAATACAGGTGTGAAGGATGGTTGCCCTGGTGGTCTCCAGTAACATCCCTGGCATTCACACCCCATGTCATCCCCTTGCTCATTGGTGACTTGCTCTCACCAGTGAGACATTAGCTATTATGACACAGGCAGAAGTTTGATATGTGTTTGCATTTTGGGACTTCTGCTCTTAGAACTCTCCCTTTTAGAACCCTGAGACCCCAATGGTAGTCACATGGAGAAGTGAGGAACCCAGGTGACAACCTATGAGACTTCAGACACATGGACCCCTGGCTGGTTGTCTCAGACAGACCAGAGCTGAGACATCAGGCGTGTGTCACAGAGAGCAACCTTCCCTGCTCTGCCGTGCCCAGAGTCCTGACTTACAGAATTGACAGTAAATAAAAAGGCTGTTGTTTTAAGTTGCTAAATTTTGGAGTGGTTTGTTACATAGCAACTGATAACAGAAATAGTAATAAACACTACTTTATACAAACGTATTTTCTGAAAAGTGGAGTGACCATGTTTAAATATGTTAGAAAAAAAGTTGGAGGAAATCAAGGGGTGAGATTTCATTTATTTTTGGTAAAGCAAATTTATAAATTGCACAAGTACAAATGCATATTAGAGGCCAAGTATGGTGGTTCATGCCTGTAATCCAAGCACTTCAGGAGGCAGAGGTGGGTGGATTGCTTGAACCCAAGAGTTTAAGACCAGCCTGGGCAACATAGCGAGATCCTGTCTCTATAAAAAATTTTAAAAATTAGTCAGGCATGGTGGTGTGTTCCTGTAGTCCCAGCTACTTAAGAGTCTGAGGACAAAGGATTGCTTGAGCCCAGAAGTTTGAGGCTGTGGTGAGCCATGATTGTGCCACTGCCCTCCAGCCTGGGTGATAAAAGTGAGACCCTGACTCAAACAAATAATAATAAAAATAAATAAATGTATATTAGACATCTGAGAAATTTCAAACCTCTTGAGACAGCTTGAGACAAAATAAACTTGAAATCAGAACTACTTCAAGCCCCAGTCTTCTTTGTGATTAGTTCTTGAACTAGTGGCCTAATAAATCAAAATGACTGGTACTGGGAAACTATGGGGGGGGAAGGGGGATGGGATTAACAGTAGCAAATATCTGTCTGGGGATGGGAAAACACCTCTTATCAACAGGGTGCCTGAATGAAACGTAATTGTATACCTAACCCTTAACTGTACCCCACAAAACCATAATAAAAAATGTTGATTAATCAAAAAAAAAAAACAACAGGCAAAATAAATAAATAAATAAATAAATAAATCAGTCAGTCATTATGGAGGGCCTGGGTACAAAGGTAGGCATGATAAACACAGTGGAAAGGATTCCTGACCTCAGTGGGGGAGAGAGATATTCAATAAGAAACTGACATTACGAATTGGGCTCTGATCTGAAGGCTCCCCAGAGGACCTAGCATATGATAGGTCGGGAAGGCATCTTTGAGGAAATGCTATTCAAGCCCTGGTGGTGAGGAGTGGGAAAGTGGCATGTGCAAAACACTGAGATGTGAAAGCACTTGGTGGCTGCAGGAGGAGGGGAGGTGACCATTGGAGGCAGAGAGGCGAGGCAGGCACGAGAGCAAAGCAGCCACATTCAGGATGTTACGATTCTCCTCTGTGGGGAGACCTGAAGAGCTGCAGCACAACAGTGACGTGACACAGGCTCTGAGGCCTTTCCCTCTGATGCAGCTCCTCCTGCCGGGGCCAAAGAGTGTCTGAGGGGAGCCTTTGTGTGATTTGGTTTGGTTTTAAAATAAGAGCAGCCCATCTTTACCTTCCGTTACTGTAATAACAGTCAGGCTTTTTGACAGCTTCGAATCCATCTGGGTTCATGGAAGGCATGATGTGTATCCGGGTACTGTTGATTAGGCCTGTGATTTCCGGGTCTCTCCCATCACTGGTTACGAGATAGTCGATCAGATGGAGCAGTAGTTCCCGCCCAACAGTCTACAGTGTTAAAGAGAAAAGGGGAGAGTAACCTGCCAGAGGCCATGAGGAAGATGGTCCTCATGGCGCAAATTCCCCAACAGGGGCCTCTATACATGACATTTGAGACCCAAACTAGTTGGTAAGACCGCTGTTTCTCAACATCCTGACACTCTAGCACGTGGCAATCAGTCATGGGGTGGGCTGGAAATGATTTGTTAGGTACCTATTTGTAAATCATTCACTCTTTGAAAAGTGAATTCAAGTGGAGTAAAGGTTTGTCTTCTTACAATGTGTTTCATTTGCTTATCTTCCAAAATGCTTTGGACTAGTAGGAGTGACAGAGAAGGCAGGGAACTTGTGTCTTTCCATGAGGATGCATGTGCGTAGGAAGCCATCACGTACATCTTGGTGGATTACAGACTGAGAACCACGGCCTTGGAGGTTTTTTTTTTTTGAGTTGGAATCTCATTCTGTTGCCCAGACTGGAGTGCAGTGGCCACTCCCGGCCACTGCAGCTTTGACCTGCTGGGCTCCGGCAATCCTTCCGCCTCAGCCTTCCAAGTAGCTGGAACTACAGGCACACGCTACTACGCCTGGCTAATTTTTGATTTATTGTAGAGATGAGGTCTCGCCAAGTTGCCCAGGCGGGTCTCGAACCCTCGGGCTCAGATAATCCACTCACCTCAGCCTCCCAAAGTGCGGGATTACAGGCTGAGCCACCGAGCCTGGCTTTAATTTTTTTTTTTCAGTTGGAGTCTCACTCCGTCGCCCAGGCTGGAGTGCAGTGGCACGCTCCTGGCCACCGCAGCCTCGCCCTGCTGGGCTCCCTTGATCTTCCGCCTCAGCCTTCTGAGTAGCCGGAATTACAGGCATGCGCTACCACGCCTGGCTGATTTTTTGATTTATTGTGGAGATGAGGTCTTGCCAAGTTGCTCAGGCGGGTCTCAAACCTGCGGGCTCAGGCAATCCACTCACCTCAGCCTCCCAAAGCGCGGGATTACAGGCTGAGCCGCCGAGCCTGCCTTGCCTTGGATATTTTAATAGAGAAAAACCCAAGTTGGTAATAAGCATAATTTAAGTACATTTCTGATTTCCATAGTCCCGTTTCCAAATCCCCCTATTGCGCATTTGTGATGTTGTTGCCATCTGTGTATTTCTGATTCCCAGAGCCTCATGTTTCTGAAACTTTAGTCATTGCTCATTATCCTCACAGTTTGTTGCCATAACTTCATATTAGCCATATACTATCTTTTATGCTTTATTTTATTTAAATGCATTCACTTTTTACTTGTATTAAAATGAAATTTTGTATCATTACCACTTTGCTAGATATATATTTCTAATATACATTAAGTAAAAGCATGACTATTAAAAATTTAAAAACCGCCAGGCGCGGTTGCTCACACATGTAATCCCAGCACTTTGGGAGGCTGAGGTGAGAGGACAGCCTGAGCCCAGGGGTTCGAGATCAGCCTGGGCAACATAGCAAGACTTCATCTCTATAATAAATCAAAAAATTAGCTGGTCGTGATGGCATGTTCCAGTTACTTGAAAGGCTGAGGCAGAAGGATCACCTGAGCCCAGGAGGTTGAAGCTGCAGTGACTGTGAGCATGCCACTGCCCTCCAGCCTGGGCAACAGAATGAGACTCTGACTCAAAAAAAAAAAATTAAAAACTGTCATATCCACCTAAAATCTTATGTACCGCCAAGGACTAGGACACTGAATGCTTGTGAGAGAGGCATTTTTAAAATAATCCCTGAGAGAGATTATTTTTCTTATTAAAAAAAAGGAAATTCAAAATTTAGCCTTATTATATACAGAATTTATTTAACTGTGTTAAGTTCTCCCATAATTCTAGGTTTAAGGACTCTACTTCTGAAGAGCAGCTGTTGTTGAGGAGTTAAAATATGGGATATCAGGATTAGCAGGTGATTACATAAGGAAAGTGCTGCGGCGATACTCATGTAGATACTGCTCAGGAAAAGACTTAATAATACTTCAAATGAATTTTCAGGCCAGGCATGTTGACTCACTACTTTGGGAGGTCAGGGTGGGAGGATTGCTTGAGCCCAGGAGTTCGAGACCAGCCTAGATCTTGTCTTTACAAAAATCAAAAGATTAGCCAGGCATAGTAGCACCTACAGACTCAGCTATTAGAGAGGCTCAGGTAGAAGGATCACCTGAGCCCAGGAGGTTGAGGCTGTGGAGAGCCGTGACACTCCAGCCTGGGTGGCAAAGTGAGACTCTGACTCTACATTAATTAATTACTTTTCAGTACAACTCCATTGTAGGACTTTATCATTGTGACAAAGAACTGAGGGATCCATGAAGGATAACTCCTCACTGTTTCCCTTCACTGGCTCATATAGGCCACATTTCATAGTGACACAGAATAATTAAAACTGGGTCTAAGAAAATTTGGGATATGTGAATTCTATGTACATCAGTAGCTATAACATTCAGCGTCAAATTATATTTAATTCTGACTTGGTTTTTCCAACTCATTTTTAATCTTCTTCTACTACCTTGATTTGTGTTATTACAGTCAAAATTGCTTACTTGAAAAAGTCTTTACAAACAAATAACCAAAAAGTCATGTATGTTTCATTCTGGGTCCCAACTTTAAGACATAGATTTTGGAAGCTCAAGCACCTATGGAAGCGACCTCAATGAGCTACTTCCTGATTGCCCTAAAGCCAGGTGAGGAGGAGCTGGGGACATATAATTGTGAAGGATTGACTTTAAATGTGAAAGGAGTAATGGGTTCAAGGAGCTTTCTCAGAAGGGGGTTGGAAGGAAATGACCGGGAGCCCCTAAATGTCCACACACTGGTTAGCGACAATGGGATGTTTAATGAGGAAAATCCTGAGGCTGATCTGAGCCCCAAGTAGGGGAGGGGGGCAATGTGGTTCTCAATGTGAATTTCTCTCTTAACTGTCTGCACCATACATTTTCAAGCAGGCAAGAACTCAAGACGTGAGCTGGCAATGAAATTCACCCAACCAAGAGCAAATGAAAACAAAGAGTAAAGAAGCCATGATTAACAGGCTAGGGTTGAGTTGGAATTTAGTTAAATATAGAACTAGATTAAACAACTGTGCTAGTATGGATACAGAATGGAATATAAAAGTTAAGGTTTATAATTAACAGACGGGGTTCGGGCTGGAGGAGAGGGAAGGAGAAGAGGGAGGAAATTTCTAATTTGTTCACTTTTCATAGCAAGGGGTCATAAGATACTATCAAAAGTTAAAAGATATATGTTTAAAATGAGTACAGTTTCAAAGTTTTTCATAATATTTTTTCTTTAGAAAAATCTTCTGATAATTCCTTATTTTGAGAAAATATCAAGTTCACCGATTATTTTAGTTTCACTTCAGTTTTATTCTTCTGTTAATAAAGTCTAATAAAATTAAATTTATACCTCTTATCTAAAGATAACATATATAATATGACACAGATTTTATTTTATATTCTTTTAATTCTTCTCATTCTCTTACTACAGAAATATATAAATATCTAGTATGACATCTGGCAATTTTAATGATGGCTATTTCTGGGTGATAGTATTCTGAAAGATTTCTATTTTCTCTTGTTTTTCTAGTATCATCTTTTTACAGAAAACTTGCATCATTTTTGAAAAACAATAAGATCATGATTCTTTCAGGGAAAAAAGTATGTAAACAAAGTATTTTCTGTTTGTCTCAATATTTCACAACAAATCACAAGTTCTTAACTGCAAGAAATAAATAAAAATTTTGGAAATATACTAAAAAGCCAACTAGGAGTCAGGTAATTTTTAAATGCTGAGGTATACAAATGATATTTCAGAGGCAGTTAAAATCCTCTTTTTCTTGTTGGGCCATATTTTGCTGCGTCTGTAACAGCTGATTTGTGCCAAATATCATTCAAATTAATTCTTCCCAACCTTAATATAAACGTCTCAAACACTCATTCATGTTTTATGTATAAACCTCCCTTCATTTAAAATTAAGTCTTTGAATATGAATCCTTGGAGAGTCCAAATTTTAAAAAAGAATGTGGCCAGTCTCCCTTAGCTTACCCAGCCTTTCACTTCACATGCTCACTTCCTTTCTGTGAGAGTGTAGACTTCCTGAAAGAATCCCTAATGAAGGGCCTGAAAGGCCTGAGTTACACACTAGCTCCTGGAGCCTTTTGCTGATCATTCATCTGGTAGTTAAAATGGCAACAACCCAGAAAGCAGAAGAGACATTCTCTATCAGTTTTGGTTCAATTCAGTCAAGTTGGAATGTGCCAGATAGAGAAAAATGAGTGTTCTAGCTCTTCAAAGAATGTTCATAAACAAAGAAAAAATTCTTGAAAGAGTAATCCATAACACAGGTGTGGAGGGGGTTAGGGGGAGGGAGGGGGGAGGGTAAATTTGGAACCTCTACTACATGTTGACTACATATCCCGAATTTTCCACGACAGACAAAAACCTTAGCTATCTTAAGGATGGAATGTGTTTGAAATGCTACACTGTGATGCAGCTTCTGGGGGAAAAATAAGTCTTTCAGTTCTGGGACTCCACAGTGGTGTGTTACAGACTTAGTTCATTATCTGACTTCTTCAAATATCAGCCTAAATACTACATTATCTAGCATACTTTCCTTGACCTATCTCAAGACTGGGTTCAATGATCTGGCTCTGTAGGCCCGTAACACTCTACCCCTGAGCTATCCAATGCTGTACACATACACTATAATCACCTGACCTTGACTGATCACTCCACTGTCTAAGCCTTGAAGTCTGGGATCCTAATAGAACTGTTCCTCTGTATACCTGTGTTCCTGGTATATCTTGCCCAGCTCCTGGTAATTTATGTATTCAACAAATAATTGTTAATAAATTACTGTTGACAAATTCATTATAAGATAAAGACTATTATGAGGAAGAACTTTTTGAAAACACGAGGACTTGAGGTGCTTTGTAAAGGGAGAGGTACAAATTTTCATGTTATCTTATTTGAAGGATTTTCAATACTGGGTAAATTTTATA